CCACAGGCTACGCCTTTCAGGCTTACAATCACGCCACCACACTCTACAAAAATACACATTTCCACCACATCTAGTACCCACAACAGCACAACAGTTGATGCAGCTCTATATGACCAAAGGTCATTCCAAAGAACACTGCGCCGCGGCGCTGCGGCCACGAAGAGAAAAGACTATGCGCCAGTATTTTGCAGACTGTCGTTGTGTACATTTCACACTATTGAACTTATTCGATGTCCAGCCCTTCCAATATTTATTATCCAGGTACTACCTGATCCGATCTAGTTGCGCCGATACGGCTCTGTGTGTGTGTCCACTCCTGTTTCCAAGGACACTACTCTAGTACTTTTTCTAACCTACCCTACGAGCCTTCCAACCACTGTACGGTAGCAGGGGGCACGGCGGCCGTTCACCTAGCCGTGCTAACAAAGCTATGGTGTTCGGTTGGAAGAGATACTGGGCGCAGTATCTTGTACCTGCAATTTTTAACTCTCACTCATTGATGCGTCTAAGTCAGTTCAACGCTGTCTCCTACGTTGATTTTGCAATAAAGTGCTAATGCTCTCGGCTAATGCAGTACCTAAATGTAAAGGGCTAATGCACACCGCGAAGCAACCTGAAGTCACGCTCCACGGAGCAACCTTCTCAAGTGTGTGACAAAGCAAGTGTGAATCTGAAGGCTCCTCAATCCACGTGGGATCTTTAAACAGGCTACTTTGGGGTTAAACCTGGGTTTCAAGCTCTAGCTAGTGCCCGTTGTTGTTCTGTGATGCGGAGGTTCCTGCAGCTCTCTATGGTTCTCTTGTACTGTATCTAAGTTTAGGCTCTAAGGCATCGCTCACTATCCACACTCACAAGTGAGGGATGTTGTCACTGGCGCTGACTATAAAGTCGCGGGATACAGCCGCCGTGTCTGACTGGGCCCCTTCTTGGATCTGGGGCCCCCTGCTCTTGGCCTGGCGGTTGACCGTGTACTAGCAAATCATTCTCTGAGTTCAACCGCCAGTCAAGGAAGGTCCAACATTCCCCTTTCCTTCTTTCCTGCTCTTGGGATTACGCCGCCAGGCCAAGAGCACGGGGCCCCAGATCCAAGAAGGTGAGTCAGACACGGCGGCCATGGAATCTATTAATATGTTTAAGTTGGTTGCCGCCGGTGTCCATTCCTTGGCACAAAGATCTTTCCCTGTCTTTTGGTTGCCTTTTGCCGACCTTGCCCTCAGAATGGCCTAAGCCATATCTTCGTGCCTGCTCTGAAAGGATTGCCGAGAAAGCACACCGCATGGCCCAGCAGCAGGAGGGCCGGCAAAGCACCGACGCTTCGGCGCGCGGTTCGGAGCCGCCGCAAACCAACGCGATCGGGCGCCATGTTGGGCGTTTTGGGGGCTCTGATTGGCCAAATGCAATTATGAAGGGGTCAGTGGATCCAACCACCTCATCTGGGATGCTTCCAGGTTGGTGGTCAAGGTGGATCTGAGATGATCTGGATGGCTTGAGGTAGATCTGGGATGGTCAACCCATTTTCTTTGCCCATGTTTGAGCCAAAGGCCTAAGGCTTCAGGCACGATCTGGCCAAGATCTCGAGTGTTCTGTCCACCCAACCACGTGCGATGCGCCACTCATGTGCGACACCTGTCCACAAGTTTTGAGATTACTCAGAAGTGTGATATAGCTCTACTCAAAGGGGACTTTGAAAAGCTGACAAGTTATAAAACACATTAAAGAACTAGTTTGGTATGATGATCAAAATCCAGTAAATCCAAGTGAGTTTGATAGGTATACTGACCGCATGTTTGTGGTGTTCCCATGTCCTGATATTCATCACCTGAAGGCACTTGGACCAGCAAAGGGAATCTATGGGCCACCGCCAAGTGCCAGTTCTGCAACCCCTTTGCGATTTCTGCTATTCCCAGAAATAGACAAGATCAAAAGATCATTATCTCACCTACCTTTTAATTGATCCCTTCGCTTGCTTGTCTGTCAAACTGGCAAAGCCCACCAGCGCCAGCGCAAACAACCGACTCCGCCAGGACCAACTTCGACCACCCCACTGCCAGGGGGCTGATCCAGCCACTAACGGCCTCAGGGCTGAGCGCCACGGCCTGAGAGGCGGGGTGAAGTTGAGTGTCAGAAGCCAGAAGGCCAGAAGGTGCTGCTAAGTTTTTGATATACAGTATGTTTAAGTCCATCATCAGCACTCCTGAAGTTCTGCTGGGGGGTCAGATGGAAGTTCCATCATATGCATGGAGGTTCTCCACTTGCAGTGGTCTCATCTGGTTTCCCCTCCACTCAATGAAGCTCCCAGCCTCCGAGCGTTCAGCAGCTGCCCGGGTGGCGCCCGCACCCTGGAAGTCCTGGTGGCAGAGCTGAAGTTGAATGGATGGAGGATCAAAAATCATGAGGACACCTAATGTGTGACAATTCCAGGCCCTACGATCATCCCGCTTGGATTACCAACACATGCCTGGAGTGTTTTGCGATGCATTTGGCATTAGGTTGGGCATTCACCCATTTGCTATCCCTTAATGGCATCTTCATTCTGCTCCGTCAAACGCTCAGTCCAGCAGAACGAAAGAGATCAAAAACGGTAGGAGCTCAGCTAGGCAGTTCGGCCCTGGCTGGGGCTTTATTCGTAGTATGGGGTCTTCCAAGTGTGGCCAGTGGATGAAGAGTCGCACCTGGAAACCTCCAAAACGAGAACCGTGGGAGATTCTGCATCGCAAATGGTTCCTTCAACAATAAGAGGGATCCACCTTTGTGGGGGTGGTATGATTTGGCAAGAGCTTCTGGTTTTGTCAATGTTTAACATGACACCTCCGTGCCTGCCTTGAAGTACTTGGGTGCACCCTGCGGGAACCTTGGCAGCTGAGAGTCTGTTGACCCAGCAGTCTGCTGCAAGTCAAAGGGAAACCCAGATGGGAGGCTGTATACGCTCAGTCATCTACCAACACCTGATGAATGATGCAGATTTAGCTTCTTGATGAAGCCTTGCCGCAATGAGCGTTAAATTAAAGCAAACCTGGGTTCTGGCAGACCCGTGAAAGTCCTGTGTGGCTCAATACTTTAGTTTGGGACTTTGGCCTTTCCATGCCCTTCTTCCATGTAAGTGATCCTGGGCCTCCGTAAAGTTGCTCCAACACCCAACGTTTTCGGAAGGTCAACTGCTGCATTCCTTTCCCTCCTTTCTCGGAACTACTCGCAAAAATTGAAAAGACCTGGGGAGCTGGGAGGCCCGGCCTCCACAGATTCATGTCTTTTTGGGTTCGTGAAGGCACCCTTCAGGTGGCCCATTCCCACGTTCCCACCATTTCTCGCCCAAATCTGCCAAGGGAGCTGTTTTAGGAAGCCGGCCCACTGCACAGGAGCGCAGCCCAGGCGGCTGTTCACGAGCCCGCCACGCAAGGCGGTGGCCATCACTGACATGCCCAACCTGCGGAAACCCCAGATGGCTTGGTTGAAGTTGTTGTACATGGAGGACCACACCAGAACTACAAGGCTTGGAGATGCGCCCTTCCACATACATGTTCATGTCATGAAATGATCTTGGCCATTGGAAACTGACCTGCTCAGTGCAGTCCAAGTGGCTCGTTGCTGATACCGTTGATCTTCAGCCGTGCAAAGGAGTTGTTCTGGGCCTCGAAAGAGTGAAAGAGTCTGGTGATTGCAAAGAAAGCTGAGGCGTCCTATCCAGTCCAAGGACAGATTGACTGAATACGACCAAGGTTTATATATATACCAGGATTTCTACTCCTGAAGTGGGGGGTGGATGGCTCTAGCTCATGCTGTTGGAGCCACAAAATCATGCACAGACAGACTGAACAGCAAAAAGTTCCTGTTCCACATCTACTCTGCAGGGTAAGTTCATGTTTGTTCATCCTCCAACCAGATGCCGCATTGGTGAAAAAGGCTAAACAATCGTCCCAGCCCATTCTGTCCACTACATGACATTCGTCCTACTGGGAAGGAGTCGTTGCAGAGTGCTCTGCATTGAGAATCTTGCGGAACCCCCTGGTGGAGTGGCCTCACCCTGAGAATCCTTTAATATCCTTTATATAGAGAAGAGCATGGTCCAAGAATTCAACTCCAAAGGCCAAGTCCTAATGGAGAACACACGCACTCAGCACCCATGATCACCTTTTTCAGTACTTGCTTCATTGCGTCCGAGATCAACTCTGCCAGAAAACCATAAGCAAGAGCACATCCTCATTCGCGCTCTCGCTTTAGCCAGCTAAGCCGAGACACTGCCATACCCACTTCCAACCAGGGGCCCCATTGAACGCTCATCGCATTCAAGCCATGCAGGTTCCAATGGTGTGCCAAGGCATCGAGGCCTCATATCTTTTTCGTGCAGGGAGCGCGATGCAGATCCAGGTTGCTCCAGATTGGGGATTAGGGAAGGTTGGTGGGATCTCCACCATCCGAAGGCTCATTGCAGGTCATGACCATAGATCACACAGGGGTGAACCCCAATATCTGGCTGGCACTCTTTCGTTCAACATCCGCTCTGCTAATCCATCTTCTGCTCCCCAAAGCACTTCTCACCCACCTGTGTGGTGTAGGAGGGCGGCTTCTCAATCAACTCTGTTTCGAGCACGGAAACAAAAAGAAAGTGTTCGGTCCATCTCTTTCGAGGTACTTTGAAAAAAGCAGGCATCGAATCGAACCACAAAAGAAAGTCTGGAACAAACAGGTCCTATCAGCTCCTGCTGCTGGAATCCATGCCTAGCGGCCTAGCGACCGAGCGGTCTCAACACCCCTGGTAACTCCCAACAACCAGCTAGTCAGCTAAGGCACAGGTGTTGGCAGCTGCGTAGTTGCCCTGACCTGGGGAACTCTCAGAAACACAGCTGCTACTTTCAGTTTCCTTGTATCAGAATAACTGTCGACTTTCACCTGTGGCAGTTTTTCAGGAATTGTCTGTGTGCTATCTGGCTGGTGCTCAAAGCATGCTGTTTGCTCATTTGCTCGTCCACTCAAAAGGACAAGTCGCAATCCCTGATCATTGGCATCCCCAAAACCGAACCAATTGCGTTAGTGTGTAGAAGCCAAAGGGAAGAGTCCAGGAAGACTACCTCTGACTTCCTTGCAAAGCAACAGCAGACTTCCTCAAAAAAAGAAAAAGCACCGAGCAAAGTGGGACGTTCCCCCCACTACACTACACTGATACTATACTAGTGAGTGAAAAGTATTTTCAAACAATGCCATATTGATGCAAAGGTCGATAGAGACCACAAAGAGCACTGGCTGGGGACCTTTTGCTGGATTTGAAACCCAATGTCTCTGTCTCGCCTGATGTGTCCTCACCTGCTGAGATGATTGGCCCCGAAAGATTTGAACGGTTTCAGAAAAATTGAAGATGTGAGGGAACCAGAGATCTGTGTCTTTCCCCATTATCATGTTCACAGTATCGTAGGCACTATATAATTGTCTGGCATGTGAATTCTGAGTTGTTCCTAAGGGAGCAGGTCACTAAGCAGGGGAAATCCATTCTAGGATGCTGCCGCACCTGGTCAGTCTCTCATCGATCATCCCGGCCTGCTGCACCGAGGAGAGCGGCAGTTGAGGAGTAGAGCAGAAAGAAGTCCAGCGAATCCAGATTCGCTGCCGCATGAAGGTTCCTGGGCGGGTCTTGCAAGAACGGCTTATGGGAGGGACCCTTGGCTTGAGTAAATGGTGACATGGTAGTCTCATGTAGTCTCAATCCCCCTATTGGTCCATTGGATCTATGTCTGAGTTCTCAAACGAAGGTCATGGGCATCAGTTAAGCCATGTTCCCTTCTGTTTGGAAGTCCGCAGTTTGTGGCACCACCTCTCACACATGCCGCTGCCCTTTTAGACCTTTCACACCGAGGCACTTAGCACCAACCACCTTTGCAGCATAGGCCCGCTCCAGATGCTGACCTGTCAAGCAGACCATATGGAAAACTGCTCTACATTAGCCAAATGTCTTTGAATAAACTCTGCACCCTCAGTGGTCTACACCCCAAGAAGCAGTTGCAGATAGGTGCACACAACTGGGTGTGGCAGAACGCACTGGCCGGTCAGGTCAGGTCCATGGGTTTTCATTGTCTTCCCATGTTCTCCGCTAACAACTGCACGAGTCCCCAGTCACCACAACAAGGATGATGGATTAGTCAAAATCCGTGTCAGTCATCCTTTGCCCCAAAGAAGATGTGTGGGATCTGTTTAGGGGCAGGGATATGAAGTGGGTTTCTTGGAGGAAAATGCAATAGAAATCAAGAGAAACACTCAAGCAAACCTAGTATGAAACGATATGTATCAATGATGAAAGATTCTTCCTTCCCACCAGGGCACGAGTCAGCTGTGGAAGCATGGCATCATCCAAGACCTCAGTTGCGGTAGCACACTCTCCTCTCCCTACATCATTGCACCACTTGAACCGAGACCAGCAATGGCAAAAAACGATCAGCAAAGGAACCTAAAATGGTAAGTGAATGATATGATGAAAAGTGCCCCAACATATGCAACACGTACCAACAAAGTGCAGCGGGAAAGCACAAATCGAAACCAAGTGGGGCGGGAGGCGAGCTTGCTGGATATTGATTGAAGCTATTATCATTCTAAACTGGGGGCAACCCTGCTGACAAATCATCCATTTCACAGCCTTGACTTCACGCTGCTACATAAACAATCCTAAACATCGGGGGACGTTTGGACTTTCCCTTGGCCAAGTCACACCCGCCAAATGCAAGATGCCCCTGACGGGGCACTTCTTGCCTTGGCCGGGTCCGCACAGCTGCTCATAGTTCAGCCAGGTAGCTGGTGCAAGACGTCTGACTGGAAAGGAAGTTGCTTTTGTTGGTCCAACAAGTTGACATGACATGAATGTGGGCCGCAGCCAGGTGAAGTCTCCTCCACTGTCAAAGGACACCCTGCTATGAGATGCTCCCATGTTTCTTGTGTTCATGTGTACATGATTGATACGAATTTTATCCGAAATGCGACACTCAGCAACTTCTAACTTCGACCAAACACCCACTAAATATGCATATCATTTGTCATGCATTGTAGTCGGGCAAAACGTCCATTGAATCATTGGGTATGCTTTTTGTAGATAGTAAATGAGTCGAGTAATTACATGGAATGCATGACATTGCATAGCCCTTTGAAATCTTCGGTGTATGCAAAAGCTTTAGAGAGTTCCTACCAATATCCATCTTTCAAGAGCACAGGCAATTTCCAGTGTCAACATGTGCCTGAAACACCCCAGCACACCGCACCACACCCCACCAGACCCCACCGGACACTGGGCACCACGAAAAGCCGAGGCGCGTGGGCCATCTGTGGCGCTGGGCGCCAAGAGCCGTTTCTGCAGCTCGGCCTTCGTGGCGCTGCTCACGTCGCAGGCCCAGGCTGTGACCTCCAGGAGCGAAACGCGGCTGTGAGGCATGTTGGATTTGTCATGAGATGCGAAAGGATTTGAATATCCATCAAACTGCTACCCAGTGGCTGTGAGCGTGCACATGACTTTGTGGAGTAGTTGGATGAGGGTTCAAGCAATCAACGAACTCCCTGACACTGACTCGAACGCATTGAAAGGTTTGACGAAGTATATAAACATATCTAAACATAGTTAATCATATATATATATTGGGTCTAGGTCCTATGTAGAGGCCTTGTCCAAAAATAGTGATAATTGCTTACTGACTGTTACAGGTAATAGGACAAACCCAATTTATATTGACTATCGTCCAAGCAAGTGTGTGTAGCACAGCACCGCCAACATAGAGAGCTTTTGGGAGGTTGCCACAAGCCCTCAAAACCAGTTGCGCAGCCCCACCTGCAGCGCCGACTCCTGCAGCCATCTCCACTGGTTCTGCACTTCCGCACCAGGACGCCCACTCCTGGACAGGCGAAGATCATGGCCATGTCGAAAAATGGAGCCCACGTTCTAGTATCCCTCGCATGGCCATGTCGAAATACCTTGTAATCCTGCTTCTCAAATCCCCCACCCTCCCACCTGTGCTCCCAAGATTTTACCACACCTTTCCTTTCCCTCAGCAGCCGCCACCCACCACATGACGCCACCCGCCCTCAGCCTGGACATCAGCAGCAAGCTCTTGGCACCCTCTTCCGCCAACGCTTGTGCAGTGACCAAACCCAAGGCACCCATCCCGCCGCTGAGCACATAGGAGGCATCCGCTGAGACCCCCATGCGTCGCGGCACCGTGAGGACCACCTGACAAAAGGGACGCGTGGACCGAAGTGTGTTGGCGCACAGAACGCGGCATTTTGACAGGGATTTTGTCTAAATCATGGGTTGGATTTGATCTGGATTGATCTGGTATTGTTGTCTTGGGGACGGAATTGTCCATTCGCAAGTGCATAATGAACTGGCAAGAATTTGGTGTGGCCAGTAGGGAACCTGGAAAACCAACATTGTTTTACCGACTATACTGTCGAAGTTGAGTGAAGAAATCCTGAACCACCCCAAAGCTCTAACACGCAAGAGGTTGGGAGTCTCCTTTCAAGCAACTTGTGCATGGTGTCTTCCTCAACAGTATAGCGTTCTGCATGGTGCCTCCAAGTCGTTTCATGACATTCCTCTGAACAAAACGAAAGTCCTCAGCTCAAACGGGCTCAGCGCTATTTGAAGACTCCTCCCAGCCGTTGGCCTTTCCAATGTGCTGTGCCCGCTGGAGGAACTGCAGTGCCTCCACGCCTTTGCCTTGGTGGGATCGCTTTGACGGAGCAAACACATGGTCCAATGGTCGGCCCGTCATACGGATCGACTGACTTGACAAAATAGTTATATCCGTCTTCCACATGTTCAAGGTCGGAGCCTTGGAGTTTGTTGAGAAAAAAGCAAAACATTAACAAATTAACAAAATGGTCGTTCTTTAAGGGGGGTGGGTCCCTAATAGAGGAGGTAAAGGAGGTAGTAGGTACAAGTAGAGGTAGGTAGCTAATAGCTACTAAGACGCTAATTACTACTCCAGGAAGCTCCCCAGGCGGCGGGGGAAGCTTCCTTGAAGAAGCGCTCGCACTAACGATTTGGTTCCTAAATTATTAGATATTATTTGGGAAACTTAACTAATCCAGGTTGCTGAGACCTTCAAACTCCGTCGCCTCGAGCGGCTTCCAGGAGCCTCGGAGAACACCGCCGATCGTTCAAATTGATCTGCAGTCCGCTGCCACGGTGTTCGCCCCAAGAGTTTGTGTTGAGCAGTTGGACTTGCCGGGGGCGGCGCTAAACTCCAACCCGAGGGCGAAGCAGAAATGCCACCCAGCAGAGGAGTTCTCCGGCTTTGTATTCTCAAGAGTTTCTTGGCTTCAGCGGCTGTAGCCACGCTCTTTAACGAACATCAGCCTAAAAGGGTGACTTAGCAGGTGCTTGTTGGTCCAAGCATGCTGGTGAGACCCTCCGTGCCTGTCTCATTCGCTCCCATGGTCGCTCCTATCCACCCTCTCGCCTTGCAGGTCCTTCTCCAAGCGCTTTAGAAGGCCCTGATAGCGGTCCGGCTCATTCTCACCTCAGCCCCGGCTCTGGCCAGAATTGGTGTGAACAAGTGGCCGGAGTGCCTGAGGTATCATCTTTTCAGATGGTTCAACCAGTGGTTCATGACTTTCGTGACTTAAGATTTACTTTTCCTGTGGTTTCAATCTTCTCCAGCTTTGTTCAGCAACTTCTGGCGCTGAACATGTGCTCATCCGCCACTGCTTGTGTCCGCCTCACAAGCCACTAGAGAAAACTCCCCTTACCCATCCTTACCCTCATCCTCGCATGTGGGGATTGGTGACCTCATAAGGCTCACCCCTTGGAGCATTTGCAGAAGCCGAAGCCCTGCTAAAAACAAGTGCCAAGTGACAAACTCCATCGATCGCCAAAGGATAGTACTTCACATCTTTTCGGAACTTTGCCACCTGAAAGTGCCGTCTTGTGTGTGTGTGTGTTATTTGCACCTATCGTCAGAGCCTCCCTAACCCTTGCTCGAAACTATTGCGTGTAGCTTCTGTGCTTGGTTCGGTCCGTGGGGAGCTAATCCACATATCTGCGGCACGTGGGTAATCAGAATAAAAGCCAGTGTGATCCTCCCATCAGCGTTGAAGTCTAGCCCGATTGGATTGGTTTCACCAACTTTCATGAGATCGCCATTTTCTCCGAAAAGTCCCCTCAGTCTGAGACAACCTCATGACTTAACACCTACACACCCACCGAAACCGAAGCAAAACAGCTTGGCTTGATGCAGGGCAACTCTTTCAAACAATCGCCCTCGGCCTCAACCTCAAATCAAATCCCCAACAGGCCTCTTCCACTGTCCAGACGTCGCGCTTGCCAATTTCCACAAAACGGCCACCTGTGCGACAGCGCATACTATGAACCTCCTGCGACCCCTGCTTGTTGGCACAAAGGATGCACGAATTGCTGGCAAACTCAAGTTTCCACCACCTGTTCATGGAAAAATATGGAAAACAAGCATGTCGATTCAAGGGGGGCCATCAAGCTAAGAAAAAAAAGTCTCACCTAATTAAGTGTGTCGAAGCCCTTCGGTGTGACACAAACAACCTCATGGCAACACCAATGAAATCATCGCCACACGTTGACTCCCATCCCCACCCAAAACATCTCGATAAGAAACCAACCAAATCCCAGGGCTCCCCCAACCACCCACTAGCCCAACGTTCGGGTGCTGAAGAATCAGCCCAGGTATTGCCACGGACGCCCCGCCTTTGGCCAACAATCCCAAGCTACGGCCGATGTAGTTGTCATGGCTCCTTGGTGGTGCATCTGAGTCCATGGAGCTGGTGGGGAATTTTTCAGCACTTGAACCACTAAATCTGCCTCCCCAGGTTCAGCGGACCTTAGGGATCCTTCAAAACAAGGAGGAACGATCGAGGCGCTGGATGAAAAAACACTCAACATGATTCAAAATGTATATAATTATAATTCCCAAACAAGGGGAACTAGACGAGTGGGTGAAGAAGGTTGCATTTGACCCAGAATGAACCACGACTCTCTGTGTCGTTAGCCTCTCCACGTCACTATCTCCACTCGACCGACAGTATGGATTGGGCGACCTAGTAGAGGGCTCCAGGGCTTCCAATGTGTTCCCCAAAAGCATCAAGGATCGGGAGGTGAACACCAGCAGCTCCATTGTCTTGAATGCTAGATCCTCATTGTCAATAACCCTCCACTCTCAGGAAAATTCGCAGCTTGCGAGTCAAGCGGCAAGCTGTTCAACACAACGTGAATGCCATCCGTACCCTGACCAGGCGCAAAGGTTGCTGTGGAGGCATGGGGGGTCCTTACAAACTCGATTCTACTCCTGAACAGTTCCATGCACACACACTTCACTACTGGCAGTTGGTGCTTTCCGACTTCACATCTACAAAAGGACTGAAGCACGCAGGCAGCTGAGCACTGACAACCACCAGGTGTGAGATGATTTTGATTCGCTCACTGGGCTGAACATGTCCAATCCACACCCTACGGCCCCAACCCCCTGGGCCCCTACTACGTTCTCAGAACCTACTCGAACGACATGCTTGGCCATTTCTATAGATAGGGATTTGGGTTCCCAAAGGCAGGCGCCTGACGACTGCAGAGTCCACCTGACGTCGCCCTACCATCGTCCTTGCTAGTAAGGATGCTTCTAGTAGTACGGCCAGGAGCCCCTAGTAGCGTCTTTGCTCCTAGTAGTAAGGCCAGGAGCCCCTAGCAGCTTCTTGATACGTAGCAATGGCCTCCAACCTACTCGTGACGGCCTCCACCCAATAGCGTCCTTGCTACTAGTCCCGGCCCAACTTGCCCGACCGGCCTTGAGGAATTCTTTCATCTCCTTCTCAAACTCATCGCCTCGAAGCAAAGTGAAAACCCGTTGGGGTCGTGACTCGAAAATCACACGTGCTGGTTGCTGGTGTCAAGGCCAATGGGAAAAGAAAAATGAGTCCTTGGGATGAATCATACCAGGCAATAGTTGAAAATTGGAAACAAACGAACTGTTGAACCCGTCAGCCAGATGTACGGGGCCAGATGTACGGGGCCAGATGTACGGGTTGGCCCAAGCTGCTGCAGTTGATGATTGATGATAAGTGTCTATGCTTGGGTGGAAATGGACATGGCAGCAGCACATATTGTGAGTAATTAATAGCTAGACCTTCCTCCTCTTGTGTCCTCTCCGTCTTATGAATCCACAGGTTACCTGCTTGACTTTGGAAGATCCAACCATCGGATCCACACAAGCTCGGTGTAATGCTTAAACTCTTAAACCATCTGAAACCCTCTCTGTTGCCATGCCGAAGAAAACCACCAGGTTGCTCCCACTTCTTCCAAGCCACCATTGCGGCTGGAGGTGATGAACTTCACTCCCAAGTCCCTCAGGTGCTGCCGCTTCTCTTCACGCCCAGCCGTGGTGTAGACCTGCAAACAACGAACACATCTCTGTTGCACGCCCCCAAGTGACGTCAAGAGATTGCAGAAGGTGAGGAGGCTGAGGAAGTGAGATGAACACTTTCCGGGCGGTGATTTAGATCAAAAATGCTTTAAGGCTAACAGCGATGGCCTCCAACCTAATAGCGATAGCCTCCGATCTAGAAGCGATGGCCTCCAACCTAGAAGCGATGGCCTCCAACCTAATAGCGATGTGACAAATGGTATCTTTAAGTGTTAGTCCAAACATTTCCACTAGAGACTTCCCCTTCGATTGCAAGACACACTCCTCTTCTCCCCCTGTTCAAATGAACTGGTCTTGCCCAACCTCAGCGCCCAAGCGCTGCGCATACTGCACTGCCACCAAGCCCACGCCGCCCGTGGCTGCATGGATCAGCACCTGCGTTCCAGTCTTGTCCGGACTGGTCCGGTGGAGGGGAAAGCGTGGGGGATCATGGCAGCTTGGAGGTGAGAGGTGTAGAAGTGGTTGAAGATTCAAAAAGTGTCTTTCTGTTACATTAATAGAGCGGCTTTGTGTGTAGAAGCGGTTGATGTGGCGGGCGCCGCTTTGGAAATACAGACTGTGTTGCTTGGACGGATTCTTTTGACAAGTTTGACCAACAATCATCTTCACCAGGCTCAATCACCAAGTCCTTCAGTTCATAGACTCAGCAAATCCACAGCAAGATCTACCTGATTGGCTCCCACAGTGCCACAATTACACATACATCATGCATCTGTGGGTTCCCCAACGATCTTGGGATAACACAAAGGCACTCCTCTTT